TAACTCAGCGACACATAAAAACATCACCATTCAAGGGAAAATTAACATGTATATAAAAAGTGAGCAAAGAAAATTCAGAGAAAATATTTTTGTAAAATTCATCATTCTAAACTGTGGATATGATTTATGTGTGTAAACCTGGGATTGCTTGACCGGAGTCATCAGCTGTGTTTCTTGCTCATGCCCTTGCACTCACAGGACAAGCTAAAAACAAAAGTAAGAAAGCTTGTTGGTTGAAGTATAAAGAGTTTAATGACTGAAGGAAAGAGGGGAAACAAATATTAGACCCACTCAATTGATGCAATCCTTTGTCACCTCATCAAGTAGACTGCTGGCAACCTCCACCCTGAACCTCCTCCCCTCCATTGGTGTTGCTGACCAGGATGTTATAATATGGCAGGGGGCATGGCCAGTTTGGGTCAACTGTCCTGGCCATACTCTGTAGGCACTGCAGTGTTGTTAGTGCTGCAGTAGCCACCAATCCAGAATATGAACCATATGAGATATTGCAATGAAAGGTAATTCCATCCCAACCTGAATCGGTAAAGAAACCCACGGTATATATATCAGCCCAAAGAGCACACATCATATCATTTTATGCTTTCGTAAGTACACGTTGTACCACTTTTTTAAGAAGCCTTTGACCCAGCTTCAATGAATTGCCTATATTTTTTATGCCCAACAGTCTGTGTGCTTAATTGTATTTATTGTGGTCATAGCAATATATTTCTGTACTGACATCTTGCAGTGCCCTAGAAAAACAATATATTTCAGGATGTTGTTCATTTTAGTCTGCTTCTTATTTTCCAGTCTGATGCAAAAGTTTAGTGACCTTTCCTACAATATTTTGAGGGCTGATTTCCTTCATTTAGTCATGGCCACCAGAAATGTGTCTACTGACCTATCATCTGATGTGCAACCTCAGATAACCATGATGCATTAGCTTGTAAATCAGTGAGAAAGCAGCCGCATCTGAAACATTATCATGACGAAAGGCTGTGCTCTTTGACAATTCTTGCCATTCCCACCCGTATTTCACTCTGTTATTCGTGCTTCTCATATATTCATATGTATGTGGAGAACATTTGTAAGTTGATATATATCGTATCTGTATCTAAATACAACTGGTACTGCTAAAATATATACTGCTAAAATGCATTTTACTATGCTCTCAGAAACATAAGCTTTGAGAGCACGTGTTTCCATGTTCTTATGTTCAGATACGTTTAAGTATATATTAACAGTTCTTCAACTACTGATAGTGATAAAAATTGTCAAAAGATAATTTGTGATCTATGCATTTATAAAGCTGGGCAACAAATTTTCACACAAGGATTAAATTTACCTGCCCTCTTTTGTATTATTAGCCTAAACCAGTCTTCTGCACCTTAAATTTCTAATAAAGAAAATTATATTTTGAAAGAAAATAGGAAGTTTTCATCAGTGCAATTATCTTTCACTTTGTCCTAACTTACTTTACAAGGCTAAGTGTTCACAGATTGTTTACTGATCACTAAGTGAACAAATTAACCTGCTGTTTGAATTGAAAATACGAGGTGTCATTGTATTTATCACAGAAGTACCAGGGACTTATATTTCGTAACTATATGTGTTGATATGCATGCTAATCCCTTGAGATCATTAGCAACAGGTATGATAGGATGGACACTGATAAATAGTTGCCATTATGAAGAGAATTATTAATTATTTTCCCTCACTGTCTTCATTAAAGTTCCTGGGGAACTGCATTATGAAGAATGAGAGGAAAAATCACTTTTCATTTCATCAAGTGCAGGCCCCAGGTTTCATGAAAAAATTGCAATTTATAATTGAAAGTAAGGATGTACTCAAGATGTACATTGTCTGACATTTGTAACTATATTACTAATATTCACCATTCACTAGAAGATATCCTCTCTTTATGTGTAACATTATATTCTTCTCCTTTTTAAGACTGGTAGACACGCAATCAGAAGAAATTCACAACATCATTTCTGGGAGTTTACTGTTGAAATGCATTACACTGTTAAGTGTACAGATTGCACATTTGGCAGACAGAGTAACTACTGTCAGTGCGCACTCACGAATGGAGACCACTTTTGGTTGAAGGGCGGAAGACGAGATGGGGCTGCAACAAAAGTCCCAACAAAAAAAATGTATATCTGTGAACTTAATCTAGCAGAGTATGGAGTAAACCACTGATTACCTCTCACTATCTTTAAAATATACCATTCTACTTATCTTTAAAGTATTTTAAAAGTCTCAATGTTTGAAACTGGGAGTGAATAGCTTTTCTGTGCACTACATTCACCACCCATCATAGAAAATAGAAAGACTAAATTTCCTGAGTTTTGAAAACATTTCCATTAAAATATTGCTTTGTCTGTCAGGCATGACCGTTTTGGTCCTTTCTCAGGCACTGCAGCAGAGGTGCTGCTGGACATATGTAATAGGGGCAACTCTGCCCTGGCAGGCTGGCAGCAAAGCAAAAATATGAAGGAGAAAGGTGTCTGTGAGCAAGCACCGGCCCTGCAAGGCAATCTTGGTTGAAAGTCTCATAGCAGCTTGTTTATCTTTGCAGAAATTAATTTGCCTATGCAGGAGTAGAGAAGAGAGGATAAGGACTGATACATATCCTGAGAAATCTGACTTGAAGGAAATGAAATTGTCTGTTTATATTTCTGGTGCTTATTCAGACAGCACTAAGATAAAAAATGTTTTTAGCCTCACTGAAACCTTTGCTTTTTTTAATCTGGAAGAACAAAGGGAACACATTGAAGGGAGCGCAGAACCAGGGCTGATTTTGCCAGAAACAAACTTACCTACCACAAAGACCCCACGAAGGAATCCAGGAAAATGCCATCTCATATCTCTGCTCTGCATTTGCTGCAGGTCTGGCTGAGATAAGTTGTATCCATTCAAGGTACTGCAATATAAGTGCTTCAGAAATGGCCTCATTTTTCAAAAGTTTTATTGTTAAGTTTGAAGACTAGACAAGGTCATACTGGTTTTACATCATCCTACATGATTTAAGTATATACAAAACCATTTGAATATTACACAGCTTGAAAGGTTGCAAAGGTCTTTGTGTCCAAGACACTTCTGTACTTACTGACACATCAGAAGCCAGCACTGAATATTATAGATCATATTTGTTGTATAGCAAAGATACACTCATTTAGTATCCTTAGTCTTCAAAACTCACATGTATTTGTATGCAGCCATTCCCAAAGAGAAAGTCAACCTGGTGACCACAGCCAGGTAGCATGATAAGCCCTTCACACAGATAAAACTGAGCCTGGTGCCAGTGCTTGTTTTCCCAGGCTAAAAACATAGTATGTTGCGGAGCCGCAGAATGGTGCCGACTTAGCTGGTTCCGAGTGAAATTTAATTAAGAGTGTACTTTCACTCTTGTTCAATGTCACTGTCACAATTAATACCCAAGGATTCTTTCAAAGTGTTTTTCCACTTATCCTTTATGTGCTTCTCTTTTTGGTATGCCAATTGCTTTCACTGGGAAAGTACGGCTGTGTTAGTTATCACTTGTCCCTTCTGTCAGTGGTTTTCATGCACAAAGATGGGAGAGTAAAATAAAGGGAAAAACCATAATACGGGAGCACACCTGATATCAAGAATTATTTCAGTATGAAATAACAGTAGGAATACAGTTTGGTTTTATGGCTGCTCAATACCATTTAAAGAAAGTTTCTGGCAGCTAAAGAATAATTTCAGTAATAAAGCCACAGCAGACTGGCTGAAAGTGCTGGGGCACACCTATATGATTCGTTTATAATTTATTGGAGCATATTATTATAAAGTACAGAGCTTTGTTTCCAGGTTGCGAAAGCTGCTGGCAGATGGAAGCTAACACAGAGTAAAAGAATGAAATTACTCAACTCCAAGTTAACACAAAATAAAGGACTATTTTAGGTATTCTAACAACACTACTTTTATATGCAGATAAATGGTTAGCAATCGAATTAGCAACGGAATGCAATACCAAAAGTTGCAAAACATGAAAAAAAACAATCACTTGGGAATGAATATTCCAAAACAAAACTAAAAATATTTGATGAACTAGAGACTCCAATTTGCAGAAATGCCTCCCTTTTTTAGGTTACCCAGTCCATTAGATACACGGCTATTCTTCCAATCTATAAATAAATATTCAGTTGCTATCTTAAAACTGAAAAATGGTTTTAGATGTCTTTAAATACTGTGTGTTCTTAAAAACATTTTTTTGTTTGTTTTTGTTTTTTAATGAAGAGTTTGAGGTGCGAAACATTGACAGTGGTTAACTTAAGAATACAGTTTTTCTCTAGAATTTTACGTATCCCCATGATTGACTTTCTCTTTAAAATCACTCACTATGCTTGAAGACCACTTCATATATACATCATTAAGGAATGCTGTTAACACAGTTACAGACAAGACATTAACAGTCTAGTGGCTTTTGTTATGCAGCACAAAGTAAAAAATAAAGAACGAACTTAGCAGTGTTGCACAGGACTTCAACATTTCTTACACATACTTTCACCTTTATAAGACTTTCCTGTAGAAGTCTTTATATGTCTAAGCCTTATAAAATAAATACTTGTATAAATACAGTTTAAGGATTAAATCATTTTATAGAGGCAGGGTGTTCTGTTTGTTAAAATGTGACAGTTTAAGTGACGCTATCCGAAAACCGCCACCTATATATCCCCAATTCTTGCAAGTAAAATTCCTGGCTGCTAATCTAGGGTCTTTCACAGTTAAATGGATTATATATTTTCTCTGTGGTGGAGAATGTGTGATTAAATGCAGGTTTTGAAATCCAAACCGTTTTGTTTCCAAAGCAAACTTTTCCCTTTGCAGACTGTGGGCCAATGGGGCATTTGTCTGGGAAGCAGGACTCAGGCTCATACTTCAGTGTTTTGGTTTCAGTGAGAATGTAACAGTGACAGAAATTAAGTTCAGTGATATTTGCTAGAACATGCAGCTGTATATATATATATGTAAGTAATTTATATTTTGCCATCAGCATGTTATGAAGTTAACAGTGTGATCCCATGTGATCCCATTATTTCAGGTAGCAAATACAACATCTCCTAACTCCTTGTCCCAAGGTCTTAAAGGTTCTGGTGCTACATCATCATGGAGCACCTTGTGCTTAGGAAGCTCAGAGTGCTTCACAAGGTTGGTGTGATTATCTCCATTTGTGGGGTGAGGTTACTGCCCAGCAAACAAACACCAGAGCCATGACTGCAATGCCCTTCCCCATCCCTTCTTTCACTCTTGCTGCTCAGCTACCTCATGCAGCCAAGTCCATTGACCTGTCTTGTTTCTAGATCCTATAAGGCATAGCAGCACCCTCCGCCTCCACCCAATGAAATCTGCACTGCCACCCAATGCCTAACTGTACTTCTAGCATCTTACAAATCCCATCACTGTTTAATTTTTTTCTGGGTCCTAGGGCCCTAACTGGACATGCTTTCTTAAAACAGCATAGTATGAAGCATTTCTGTAGATGAAGCATGACAAAGATCAGCCTCCTTGTGGCTCAGTGGCATACTCAGCAAAGACACAGCTGGGAGCAGAGGGAACCAAGTGCCCAAATCTGGTGCACTCCTACAACATCTCTTGCCTCCATGCTTGGGAGAAAGAACATGACTGGTGCCATTAGAAAGGCCCAGCAGGAAGATTTCCCAGCAGCAAGGAGGTCATTCCTTCCACACGCTTCATGGCACCTCATTCCTTCATATCATGTGTCTCCTCACAGGAAGAAGGTTTCTGAAAGAAGAAGTCAGATGGGCAGCTCTATCGAGGGCAGTTCACTCCTGGGTAAGTCATGCAATGGGTTCAGGATTTATGCTGTGCACTGTGCCTTTATCTTTGCATGTACTGAAGACATGGAACCACAAGAACCCGCCTGTCTCACCTCAGCATCCTTGCAAGAACACCATTCAAGCAGAATTAATGTACTTTGGCAAATTCGTTAACTTCATAATGTACTGACAGCAAATTTTATTCCATATACAAATGGGTCTTTCAAAGAAAATAACATTAACAGTGATACTGAACAGAAAGCATGAAGGTTATGTCTATAATATGCAAAATTGAGAAGGAACATGGGGCTAGCTAGGAAAACCCTTTAGGTGAATGGACTCTGCTGTTTAGATAGGAATAATGAAAGCTAGCTAGTAACATCACAGGTACTGTATTTTACGGTACCACAAAGTATTTTCCAAAATATGTCATAAATAGTGACAGTGTTTGATAGGCACAATTACTATAATGCAGTCATCCCCAAGTAAACTTATTGCTAAAAGCTGCAGTATCACTTTTTGCAAGTAAGATGACAGTATGATTTATGGAGAACTTGTCAGCCCAATGTTACTGAAGCTGCAAATGAGCTTTGTCATGCTCTTTCTCTTCCCTTGTAAAAAGGATGCTGCTGTTTTTCCCTAACACATTTCAACTAGTGTGAACAAATTAAAGGAGAGCTAGAAAGATAATGCCACAGCAAAAGGGACAACACTAACATATTTCAAGGACAAAATCGGATTGGATCATTTAAAGGGCAGGCTTAGACCTCCTTGCGAAAGACATTTAGCGGCCTACCATAAAATGAGCACTTGATCATGAAAAACCCACTCAGCTTCCTACAGGCTTTGCAGTTTCTTCTACGAAGGGACCAGTAGGGGTACTGAGAGCTATGACGCCCAGCAGAACCCCACCTCAGTCCTCCTCCGTGCAGCCCAGCAGCTCTGACCGCAGGGTGATCCGGCCATACCACGACCATGGGATGATGCGGATGTGCCGGGCATAGATCGGAGGGTCAATGACGTTCTTCCGGTGTGTGTCATTGTCAAAGTTTCCCTGGAAAACCTAAAAGGCAAGCAGCAAGAAGGTTGGTGCCTGGATAGCCAAGCTTGAGAACTGAGCAATGACTGGGTTAGGAACGCTCCAATAGAGACGGCTGACACTTGCTGGGTTCAAGGAGGACTCTTCTTTTACACATGCTATTTTACATACCAAGGTACTCCTTGGACTAGTGTTTTATAAGACGTCTGACAAATACTGGCCCAATCATAGGGCAAAACAACATTCCTCCTTAATGAAGGTCTGCACGATGTTATTTCTCAGATAGAAGGGAGCAATGTCTTATTAAAACATCAGATACCTGAAACCAAAAAGTAATGTCCAGAACTGACATCAGTGGGATCCAAAAGGAAGTGACAAAGTGAGTGAAGAGCCTGAAACTCTACACAGCAGAACCAAAGGAGACAGAAAAACCCTGAAATCCATGGGGCCAGAGAAAGGACACCACACATGTGACTCAGGGTCTGTGTGGGTTCTGGACCTGCATGCCTGGCTAGAACGTGAGGTGCAGATTCAGCCCACAGTTGAAATCATCGTTACCATTTTAAAAATTAACTGCCTTTTTACTTGGCATTTGTATCTTGTCAAAATAATCCTAGGAGGTTCTGTTACTGTTTTGGATGAAGTAGCATTAGAAGAACACTTACTCACCAATGCAGCTTGGATGCCATTGCATAAGCTGTGATAAAATTAGTGACTATAAAGGACACTATCATATTCTGTTGAAAAATGTTACCATAAGCATTAATAGCTTTGGAAGCAGCTCGTGATTCATTTAAAAATATCTTAACTCATTCTAAGGCAGGTAAATACATTATTTCCAATGGCATGTGTTAGTCAATATATCAGTGAGTTCCAAAACTCTGGTCTGTGTTAGAACAATGCCATTTTTTTCTCCTAAGAGTCGTGATTCAAATTCAAAGGGCATAGCATTTCTCTTTCAGCAAAACGGTCAGATCACCCCCCTGAGATATTTTCGGTTTATATGGGTAATCTTCAATGTCTTCAAATGTCTTTTCATTTACAAAAACATTATTTGATGTCTTTTTGACTTCAAATGAGTGATTTTCATTTGCATAAAGCACAAAAGGAGTATGATTCTCTAGAACAAGTGCTTATGTGACTGAATTAGTGCAGAATGAAAAACTTCTTTGAAGTTCTTAGGAAAAATGTCATAGGTTGAATCCAGAAGAGAATTTTAGTCTACTAAATTCTCAGAAGAGAACTTAGACTACTATTTTAGTCTTTAAGCTCCTCTCAAGTGCTATCAGTTTGGCATTTTCAAGAACACGTGTATGCTCCACAAGTGATTCTCTTTCAAAAGTGATGTATTTCCCTCCTTGCCTGGAACCTCAGCATTCAAGCTAAGCAACAATTAAGATAAACAGATAAAATTTCAGAAAAACTGGCCACAAAGCCACAGTGCTGTGACTGTAAGGAAAAAAAGAAGCATTTTTGTCAGGAAAAGTTGTTTGTTGTCCAAGTATAGTCTAGTCTTGATTACAGAAATTAGCTAGAGCTTTAAGATTTCATCTGAATTTGATTATCATTTGTAGCAGTACAGCATACAATACAAGAAAGCAAACTCATTAAAATTAGCAAGGTACAATCTGCAGCAAAGAAAGCTTAAAAGATTGTTCCTTTTGATTTCTTGCACATGCATGCGATTTATCTGTTGGCTTTTTTTTACCAATTCAGACGATAAGCAATGCAGAACCACAAGCAATTCTTGCTGCAGAGGAATTGGAGAATTTTTTATTTTCTATTTCATTTTTCCTGTGGAAGACATCTCAGAAATAGCATTTTGACTAAGACTTGGAATAAAAAAAGTCTTTGTTTACCAGAAAAATCCATCTACTCACTATCCATACCTACATGCATCTGTGCAAAGTGAAAATATCAGAATCAAACTAAGGAACAAATACTGATGAAAGAGTTGGATTATACTATTTTTCTTAGAGCCACGAAAGTGTATGTAAAATCACACGCAATGTCATTATTACCTGAAACTGAACTCATCTGTTTCAGATACTAATTTATGCAAATGTAAAATTTAGCATCCTTCAAAATTCAAGATACAGTCTCAGGAAATTAAAATTGCTAGATCAAGGATTTTAGGAAAACAGATTTATCAATGAGAGAAGCTTTGTGAACATCCCCAAATGTGACTGGCATGAAATATAACATCCCATGAGCAAACATACTGAATGTGTTGCAGTAGACCAGTGGCAAATTTAAAATCATAGAATCATTAAGGTTGGAAGAGACCACCAAGCTCATCAAGTTCAACCTTCAACCCATCGCCACCATGCCCTTAAACCGTGTCCCACAGTGCCACATCTACTCTTTTCTTGAAAAACATCCAGGGATAGAAAATTTACTACTGAATTTTTCATTCTTCATTTTACCTCAGCTTAAGCTCACTAATGAAGTTAAGAAACTTGGAAGAAAGGACATGTGATAGATGTCTATAACATCATAAATGGCATGGAGATCAATCACAGACAACACTGCATTGTTCCTGTAGAATGAAATGAATGAGTCACCTAATGGTCATGCTGTTTCACACACCGTGTAATCAAACTGTGGTACTCTTTCTCACAGTATTTAGGTATTAGTAAAGTGAGATAAACTGCTAGGGGTAGGATCTATAGCCAAGGACTGCAAAACATGCAGGTAGAAGAGTGCAGGAAACTGGGAAGACATCTGCTGGAGGATGCATGCTTCCTAGTCTGGGCAGGTCTTCAGCCTCACAGAACAGGGCAGCTCCTAAATCACCAAGTACCTGTATATGTAAAAGTGGATCAAAGCTTTTGGTTTATTTTAATTTTTCTACTGGGAGTATCTGTTTATGTCAGGCTGCATACTTAAAAGGTGTAAGTTACTAAAACTTTCACTCAGAAACTTCAGCAAGTTTACACGTACATACTCCCCACATACATATGTAGCTCCTCTGTATCTCAGTATTTTACAGCTGCTTTTAAAATAAAAAAGTAGAAAATGTATGATAGTGTGCTTTTATGTACGATAACTTATGACCAGTTTGCAAAAAAACCCCACAACTGCAGAAAATACATACATAATGATATTCTCTGCCAAAAAAGATTTCTGAAATATAAACAAGTCTTGCTTATAGCTGTGTCAAACAAGGTATCTGGTTGTCTTGCCTTTAAATACTCACTGAAATTTTTCATTAGAGCTAAGTGTTTTATGCCCTAAGCAACATATTCAAATTATGACAATGTAAATTGATTCATATTTTAAAAAGAGAACTGCAGTAAGTTTTATGACAAGATAATTTAGAATAACTATCTAAGGAAGAATAGCTTGGAAAAATTGAATTTATTATAAGGAATGCTTGCTTTAAATGCGGAGCTTAAAAGCAGGTTTCAGGGCACATCCATAGCACTAATTAACAGGTGGGGGCAAAGGGTAGAATGGGGTTTTGTAGCACTGTGTCAGTGGATACCTCAGATATATGAAAATTCAGGGAACCTGATTCTCTGCAGAGAATATTTCTGGGTCTCGTGTCTTACAGAAACTGAAATTACATGGAAAGTCTACATTGGCCTTAGCATTATTAGTTCCTGCTATTTGGGATAATAGCAAAGAATTGAGACTTTAACATCTAAGTCTCAGATAATGAAGTCAGTATACTGTCTGTTGAATGTTAACCATATTTTTTGTCCAGAGTATTTCAAACAGGTTCTTGGAGCAGTTAATCCTGCTCATAAAATCACAGAATCACCGAATCACCAAGGTGGGAAAAGACCTACAAGATCATGCAGTTCAATCATCTGCCTGTCACTAATAGTTCTCACTACACCATGGCCCTCAACACAACATCCAAATGTTCCTTGAACACCTTCAGGATTGGTGACTCCACCACCTCTCTGGGCAGCCCATTCCAGTGCCTGACCACTCTTCTGGAAAAGCAGTATTTCCTAACATCCAGCCTGAATATCATATTAGAGGCGGACCATTTAAAAAGAGTAATTAGATCTAGCTTCCATTTGGATTTTTCTTCAGTGCATTACATCTCGTAAGTATGACAAATAAAGGGGAACTATTCATTTCAAATTCAAAAGAAAGCTGAATGAAAAATATTTCTGATAGCTATATTCCCTTCTTTCAGAAACATATTATTTCTTTATTGTCATTTATTGAAAAATACTTCTTCAAGCAAGACTGAAATTTGCAGATCTGCACAATCCATTTACTTGCATTGAAAATTTTTGTTCTTGCTTGGTGGAGTATTTCTTTTCACAATGAAGAGCTACAAAGCTACAAGTGAATGACATTAGGTCAAAGATGGTGAAAGATGTTCTGATTTCTTAGCAGAAAGAGAGCTGCTGTTTAAAGGCATTCTGTTTTACTTCAGAACAATTCACAACTGGAAGATGCTTTTCACTATAAAAAATTGGGCAGGCTTTTTGAATTAAATGGATATGTGTTTCAAACAGACATGTTCACGCACCTGTGCTTATGTAGTGATGTAAGGGGAAAAAAAGGACATTCGTCCTTTTCAGTTGATATTCAAAAAGTCTCTTTGCCAGCCTCACCTTTGTGCTGAGGAGTATGATAGAGTAGATCCTGCTGGAAGCTATGCTGAAGCCCATGGAAGACAAGGAGGTGATCCCATACAACCAACATTGCTTCACAAGGGACAATTTCTGCCTGATCAACTTAGTGGCTTTTTTATAATGGCAGTCAACATCTCAATGTCCAGAGGGAGATCAGTGACAAATGGTGTGCCTCAGGGGTCAGTGCTGGGACTAACACATTTTAATATCTTCATCAATGATACTGACACTGTCAGCAAATCTGTGGATGACACCATGTTGTGTGGTACAGTCAACACACCAAGGGGACAGGATGCTATCCAGAGAAACCTACACAGGCTGAGCAGTTGGCCCACATGAACCTCATAAGGTTCAACAAATACAAATGCAAAGTCTTTTACCTGGGTTATGGCAACCCCCACTATCAGTACAAGCATGACAATG